ATGGATTGTGAACCACGTAATACATTTGTTAAATTCACAACTTTAAATCTAAAAAGTTATCTACAATGAAAAATGTGATCAAACATAATATTCTCCACTTGACAAAATAAATAAAAAAAATTAAATAAGAAATAAAAAAATTAAATAATTAGATATTATGGAAATGGTAAAAGTATTTCTCTCGCATCTATCATTGGTTGATCAATATGCGAAAGAGAATGTGAATGAACTATATTCTTCTCTACATTGTGGACATTAATTATGTCCACCTCATCACTACATTATGCATGATTGGTATGCGTGAATGACAAGGGAATGGAATGATCATTCTCTTACTCATTCATATTCCCATGATTGGTATATTTTTATAAGGGAATAACAATTCCAATGAGAATTGCAAAATCCATCTATATGGGATTAGTCAATCCATGACTAATGGATGGTTTTCTCATTCTCATATGTTTGGGAATCGATTTTTCAAAAAATAAAATTAACAAGTTATAATAACAAATAAATATATAATATATACTATATTATCATGATTAAATTGTATTAATAAAATCATTTTAAATAATAAATTTCAAATAAAAAATTATTTTTATTTATTAGTCATATTTTAATTAGATACATTAGATACTTATATAAAAATAAAACTCACTAAAAAGACATTTATAAATAGTTTAGAGAAATCTTTTTTTTTTATATATATATAATCATAGATATATTATATTTATTCATAAATTTAATTACATTATAAAAAATTATATTTGACCACATATGCTTATAGGGGTTTATGTAATGATATATTTGTATTAGTTAACATGTATATAAATACATAATTCACTTATTTATTATATAGGATGGGTGTAACAATACAAAAGTATGTTTATTAAAATATATTATATTTTTAAATTATAAAATAATGTTGGTATTATCATAAATAATAACATACCATTATATAAATATGAATTTTAGAATAGGGATAAATGATAATATAGGATGATAATGACATTTTATTCCGGTTTTATTTCTTCTGCATACCAAACGCATCAATGACAAAACTTATTTCATTCTTTTCCCATAATCATTCCGTTTTTCAACTCATTTCATTCCTACTAAATTCTATTCCATTGTACCAATCATGTCGAACATTGTGCATTGTATGATTAAAAATAGAAACATTACTAAATTTGTTAATATAAAGTGTAATTTACAACAACTACATTTTACCATTGTAGATGCTCTTATGTGCATAGTAAGTGAATTCATTTTGAAAGTATTTATACTAAGCAAATCATGATTGCGTAAAATATTGTGAAAGACAGATCCTAATAAATTTCCGATGATAATGGATGAAAAATCTTATCAAAAACACTTAATTATGGATAATTATATAAATGTTAAGATAAGATAGAATGTATCTAAAAAAATCTTTGTTTGATTGTTTCCTTTAAATATTTTTAATTTAATTTTTTTCCAAAAATTTTCAAAAAAACACATTTAGGCAGGATATTCTGAATTTCTTCCAAAAAAAATTCTTATTTTAATAATTTTAAAATTTTAGGTAGAATTTTAGTTTTATTTCAAGTAAATTCAAATCTTTTATTTTTTTCATATTTTTTTATTTCTATATTGCAAATTAACCAATTAGTGATTTGCAACGTGGTTATGTAACATTTGATTTTAAGATTTTTTTGACAATTATATTTTAATTATTTGCTAATAATTTAATAATTTGATTATATTGGGTATATTGAATCAAATCGACAATATCGTTTTTTTTTTTTATGTAGATCCGCGTATTTTATAATCTTGAATCAAATCGACAAGATCTCATTGGAAGATTTTCACTCCAATCATTTATACCAAAAAATATCGATCATATTATTCTTCAGATTTCTCATACCAATCGAATCTAAAGCTTATAAAAAAATAGAGACATGCATTTATTCAAACATATCGACCATAATATTGTTCAAATATTTTTTTACCAAAAAATAGACTCTTTACCATGCTATAAAAATTGAAAAGTGCATTTCACACAAAAAATTATTTGAAATATCATAACAAAACATGAATTAAATCGAGACCCACTGATTATACAAATAAAAATTGTCCAAAGTATTTTTTATACAAAAAAGCATCGAGACACACGTTATATCAAAATACCCGTTCATATTATTCTGTCGGCGTTAAGGTAATTTCATTATGGTAATTTCTTGTAAAAAAATGAAATAAAAATCACGAAAAAAAACAATATATTGACCTACGCATTTCAGACGAAAAAATAAACCATATATTTATAAATTTTCCAGCAAATTGCTTACAAAAAAAAAATGGCCATCAAATAACCTAAATAAATTTGTCTACTTTATACTATATATTAATTAATTTGTTTTCCATTGAAATAACAACCAAATATCACAAATAAATTCGCCACTTTATACCATTTATTGATTGATTTATTTCCTAGGAAAAGGCACCAAATACTAAAATAAATTCGCCCGACTTTATACTATATACTGGTTGATCTATTTTCCATAGAAAAAGCCTCAAATATCAAAACTAAATTCACTCATTTTATACCATATTGATTGATTTATTTCCATATATAGTAAATAAGATTTTTTTTTCATAAAATAGTTACTATTTCAAAAATAATCAAATATATATATATATATATAAGAATAAACTACAAATTAAAAAGTTGGAAAATTTTAAACATAAGAAGATTACATCACCCATATATATAATTCTCGAATGTGTTGAGCCTAAACTGCATGCTCGCATGCTTCGGGAGCTTAATTGGAGCAAATATGTGCTTCGTATTGACACATGTACAGGTTTGGTTTAATAACTAGATTTGAGAATTACCATAAAATTATCTTACTTTTCTTTTTCTTAAATTACCATATATTACCTTTCCTTTTTATTAGTTACCATATTCTTTTTCTTATTTATTTCATATATTAATTATTATAAATATTTATTCTCCTTATTTTAAAAAATTTAACTTTTTTATTTATATTTTTTTTTCACATATGGGATAAATACTATCTTTAACAATTTTTTTATTTGATATCCATATTGTATATATAATATAAAAATAATTTCACATGTCTCCATAAATAAAATTTAAATTTATTTTCATACCAAATGAGAAATATCAAATAAAATTATAGTCCATAAAATAGCAAAAATGAAATTTATGCCATAAACGATCATTTTAGTATATTGTTTCTATAGATCTGAAAAAAATGTAGAAATTGAGTATCAATAAAATATGAATATGAAAAATATCCAAAAAATTATGTCTCGATTTAAATTTAAATAAAGTATGTATAAATTTTAAATGTTATTATGATGCTGTAAATAATAATACGAATGAATATCATAATTAAAAATAAAAAATATATACATATTTCATAAGTTTAAAATATATGACATTTGTATATATTAATTTATATTTTAAATAATCAAATATTATAAATTTTAATATACTTAACAGTTAACATATGAGAAATCAATCATTACAATACAATAAGGATTTTAAGAAAACTACAAAATTTAAAATCAAATTTATGGTATTGTAGATATCATTTCATTTGGACATATATAATTTAATAAATATAATTAACAACTATTATTTTAACAAATAAAATGTATAACACGGTTTGATGTTAAATAACATCACTTTTTTAGTTCTTTATTTTTTATAATTTACCAATAAGAATATAATTATTTTATTTTATTCTTATAAAAGTATCAATTCTCTTCAAGTACCAGTGTAGTACACGGGTATCGTACTAGTAGTAATAGTAATCAATATATGAATTTGATAAGAAAAAGAAAACGCAATGGTCTTGTTTGGATGTTACTAGATTGATATGAACTAAATATGCATTGGATATGACCTAAATATGAATTATGAATGAACTAAATGTGAATTATGAATGAACTAAATATGCATTGGATATGAACTAAATATGCATCATGTATATAATTTAAATATAACTAATATGCATTTCGTATGAACTAAATAGGCATAATGAATGAACTAAATATGCATCATTTATATAATTAATTTAAATATATAAACATGCATAATGAATGAACGAAATATGCATCATATAATAACTCTTTAATTTTTTATCAGTTTTCATATATGATATATAAAATTAATTAATAATTTTCAATGTGACATTTATTTTGCATGTATAAAACAATTAAATTTATCTTTGTAAATAAAAAAATAAGTAATATAATCAATCCTATTTAGAGAGTAACAAAATTATTATTTATTCATTGAATAAATTTCTATCATGTTTAGAACTATTAAACCAAATGAGCCGCTCATAAGCTCGACTCGACTTCAACACATTTGATAAACGTGGCAAGATTGAGTTTGTTTAAAGCTTATTTAGTTACCGAACCGAGTAGGACTCGGTTACTTAAGAGATGAAAATATGATTTTTTTTTTAAATAAATTTTTTATGGCTCGACTAGGTTAAAGCTTCAATTTAGTTTGAGTTGACTCGTTAATATTGTTAAACGAGTTTAGTATGAACTCGATTAGTTAGAGTCAAGCTTGAATTGGCTCAAGCTTAACTCGATTAAGAATTGAGTCTTAATTGGAGTTTCAGGAGTTCAAACTACTCAAGTTCGGCTAACCTCGTTTATACCCCTAACCAAGCCTATATATGAATTGCAAATTAACTATATTAGTATATGTTATAGAATATAACTTATAAATCATATATATAAATTATTTAATAATTAATGATCCATTGAAACCTAGCCCACCACTTTTATAACTGTATAATAATTGTAACTAAAAAAACAAATGGGTTTAGAACATATGATTTGAAGAATTGAAGCTAAGGCACAGCCTCCTACTATTATATATACAACGTAAAAATAATTTCCTTTTGTCCACCTACTTTATGAAACATTCAATGGCTTTCAGAATAAACAATCTTTTCCAATTTCTAAAAATATTTTTTTTTTTTAAAAAAAAAAAGGTAATAACAACATCAATCAATAATTAATCCACTAGTCCTCAACTCCCCTGCCTGCCCAATTAAAGATAAATAGGCCACTGGTCATCCCATAATAATTATTCCTACGAAAAATAGATTTTTCGCTCTCGGCCGACAAATGTTCAAAACACCCAACAAATAAACCTCGGCAGTTTAAAGCCTCTAAAATCTGGCTCGGCCTTTCCCGTCGACACAAGTCATTAATCAAACATTATTATTTTTCATGAAATTAATATTCTTCACTGTTCATCGTACATCCCGCTCGCTCATGCCACCGAAGCTCTTTGCCTACTCATTTGGCAGAAGGTTTTTCACCAGATTTGGGATTTTCATCTGAATTTCTGAGTGCTTATGAGGTATTTTAAATTCAGTCTTGTGATTATAATTCGAAATTCTCTAGACTCGGATGATTTTATTTATTCGGGTTTCGAAAGGGGGAAAAAATGATTTTCAACTTTAGCTGGAAAAAATAGTCTCATTTTTTTATATTTTTTTTTTTTTTTTNTGTGTGGTTCGAAACTAAATTGAAATTCTACCCTTTTTTTATTCTCCAATTTCCACTGTATAACGTATTTCTGTGTTTGTTTTTTCAGATATTAATTAATCAGAAGCCGATAAAAGAAGGTAACAATACATATCAAGAAAGGGTTTAAACCCTGGATCAGCTCAATAATGGCTTTGACAGGAAATCCCCTTGAATTCAACCAATTTGCAGTCACCATCTCATTTCCTAAAGTGAGATTACAACAGTCATTTTATTTTAACAACTTCAGATTTTAATATAATAATAGAAAGGCATATATATGGTAGATATTATAACTAATTTACTCAATTTCATGTAAAATTTTTGCTGCAGGATAATAATAATTACAGTAATCATTTGGTTGAAGCACATGTCGTGGTGGTTGATTTCGTGTTGCGCTATGCTTTTATTGGGGCCTTCATTGGTATGTATTATTATTATTATTATTATTATTATTATTATTATTTATTGGTCAATATAAATTATCTTCCGGCAACAGCTAATTAACTCTAGAAATCTTTAAATTTTGGAAATTTTAAGTTAATTTGCGAAGTGGTATTAAGTGGCTTGCCTGCGTGCTCGAGAGTTTAGTCTTTGTCAACTGGGTAATAGAAACAAATAGAAACATCAAGTTTTTCTTTAGATTTATTTTGGGGGCTTATTTTATACTGATTATACTCTAAAATTACTTGGGTCAAGGTGGAAGTGTTTAATTTATGCATCTGATAATTTCGTTAAACAATAGAATAGGTAACGACGACATATCATAATTTACCCATCTGGAATCTGATGACGTATGAGGTGAGGTCATGCTTTATATTAAAATAACATAAAGTAAAACAGTACACTATACAAGTTGAGGGGGAATATAGGGCACAGTCTGGCATCCACGATAAAAAAATGAAAATATATATAAACAAAAGCTTAAAAGCAAAAGATTCGACAAATTATAATCTGGAATAATTAATTTTCATTACGAAGCCAATATTTTTTGTAAATAATGGCTTAATTACATGAGCGCCTACCAATTATCATCATCAATATTTTTTGTAAATATCTTTCTTGTGTCAATAAAAAATTATCAGTAATACTCTTGATGATAATCGCGCTGATCGTCAAACTTATGTGGAGCTCGGATGGGAGAGTGACACGTGGTCTATCACATAGGCCTACTGAGAACACTACATTGTTACCTTCAAAAGGCCAACAGATTGTGGTCACTATTTACGGCACAAACGATAATAACGAATCAGGAAGCAACAGTTGCTCTTCGTCTCAAGATTTATATGATGGTAAAATATGCGTCATTTGCTATGACGATCAAAGGAACTGCTTCTTCATTCCCTGTGGTCATTGTGTTACATGTCACAAGTGCGCCCATAGGTAACGATTTATTTAATTTCATGTTATTGTTATATAATTCAATTCGAGTTAATCTTGGTAACATTCGTATCACTATATACAATACATAATGTATATGTAATAAAAATTGCAAAAATTAAATGGATATTATAATTTATAGATGGCCATTTATTGACTTTCAAATTACTCAAAAAAAAAAAAAAATTCCAAAATGGTTATCTAGATCAAGTTGGCGCACTCCATCTATGACTTCGATTTTGATAACTCACTTAAAGAAAAAAATTAAGAAAAATAAATGCGAGATACAGTGGATATATCATATCCCTTTGGTACTATTGAGAAACAGGTAGGATCAACTTGCACGTGCAATAATTGAGACCAACCAAATAAATAGCGTCTGAAATTTGCTCAATGTGATAGTGTGACATTTTTTTTATTTTATTTTATTGTATTTTATTTATCTATTTATTTTTGTTTAAAACAGGATTGTGAAGGAGGAAAGCAAGAGTTGTCCAATTTGCAGAGGAATTATCTACAAAGTGAAGAAATTGAGCATTTTGTGAGGGAAATGCAAATGTAGGCCTCTACAATATTTATGTCCATGGCATTCGCTTTCTTTCTGCAGTGAAATAATGACATTCCATTCCATGATGCAGCTAATTTAAATAATAATAATAAAAAAAAAAAGAACAACTTTGGAGTGGGGCTCTGAGACCGATTTATGTCTCACGTTTGTGTGAGAATGTGATTTGTAATGATTTGTTTTGTTCCTTTTTTTCTATGAAACAAAAAAAAAAAGATAATTGTAAATAAACAATTCCTCATGGTACTTCTGAAGAACAAATGTTTGGACTATAGAATCATGTGACATGGGTCAAATGCTTCAACTATAAAAGAAAAAGACAGCTTATGTGGGCCGTAAATCATACGTACAATTTGATATTATGAATTATGGGGGTACAGTCTTAGTCTTTGGGCCTAATGCTATTTCATGAATTAAAGACACCCTACTACCTTTTAATAAATATTGTTTACATAATTGACCCTAGTTATCAGTTAGTCAAAAATACCTTTTTTACCTTTTTTTCATTTCAATTTCTATCTCTCAGACGGTTATTTCTTTTTTATCATCATCTCTTTATTTCCTCAACTTTTCTTCTTCGTCTCATTTCTCTCTCTTTTATTTCTTCTCTATTTTATCTCCTATTCTTCTCAGATCCGCCCAAAAATTACGCCGGTTACACCCAAAAAATTATGGCATGATTTCGACGCCGATTATCCAGCACTTTTGTTCCTAGTGGGTGGATTCGCACCGTCGACGCCCTCTCTCGGGCTATTTGGAAAATCCGACGGAGTTTGCTCCTCACCAAAAAACGATACCTTCGAATCCGATCAGCCCATGGAGTTGGCCACGTGCAGTCCAAGGACGACTATTCCATTGCTGGTAATTTGATGTTCAATTTTACCATTTTCGTTTTTTTTATGTAAATGATTTTTAATAGTTAGTTATTTATGTAAATTTCCCCTATTTCATGTCCGTGTTCTTCAACTCTAGGTTCTACCATCTTTCCATCCTTCAAATTTAAGATATCGGGAAATTTTCATCTCTCCTACGTGATTTGAAAAAAATTATAAATTAACCATGTAGTAACTTTTATTTGCATCTCTACCACTTCCATGCCAAATTGCCAATTAATTATAAATATGCATCTAATTATGGGATTTTCAGATACCAAATTAAATGTAACTGTCTTCCCCAAATTATGGGATATGTTCAGTTACCAAATAAAGTGTAACCGCCTCCCCTCTAAGAGCAGATCGTGGGTTTTCAATTCTCAATCTTTTTGAATATCCAGTATATATTGCGTTATAGTCAGTATATATTCAGTATATAATCTGGTTTTTTATTTACATAGCATTTTTATCTAACCACAATTGTGATATTTGAATTTTTATTCAGTATATAACATATTATATACATATCATAAACTAATCATATCATTATTTTAATAAATTATTTTAGTATATGTAGAGTATATGATAAACAAATAAAGCACATTCCAGATGATAAGCACATGAAGCACGGCCAAAGAAAACATATACTGAACATATACTGCAGATTGTGCCTACGAAAACATATACTGAAAAATATATTATATATAAACGCAACATATCTAGCAACATAATAAATAAAACGAAAAAAAAAATGAAAAAAGCTGAAACATCTTAAACATCATCAATTATTAATCATACATATATTGAATATAAACTATAATAAAACTAAAACAATGAAAAAAAAATCGTTATAAAAAAATCTCATAAACACCACTTTCCCCCGATGCCGGCGAATCGACGACGAATCCGAGGACCCCGGCCCGCGCCCCTCCTTCCTTGACCTCGAGGCCGCGATCAAGTCCTCCGAGGACCCCGACCAGTAACCTTGTTGCAGGGGATGGACGACGGAGGTGATGATGGGGTCGT